GACTTTGAGTCACTGTATGTGTTTTTTCTCTGGAGAGAACGACTGGAGTCTCCATTAGTGGCATTTCTGAGGACTGAGTAGCCTGGTGCGTCACTGTTGCCTTTCCCAGAGGGAGAGGAGCTGCGGCTGGCGTGTTTCGTGCCGTGCAGGGAGCTGCTGGTTTGGGTTTTCCGCAGTGAGTGTTGCTCAGACACATCATATCTTTTCCTTGAAGGTGACAAACTGTGTGCATCACGGCCTCTGACCGAGCCGTTTCCTTGAGACTTGCGCAGCAGAGACTGAGAAGGGGCGGCTTCGTAGCTTCTCCTCGAAGGCGACGAGTTACGACTTTCACGACCACGGCTGCTCAATGAACCGCTAGTGTCTGTTTTCCTAAGTTGAAACTGATGAGGGGTTTCATAGCCTCTTCTTCCAGGGGAGGAACAACGGCTGTCTCGACCTCGACTCCCAGAAACAGGACTGGATTCAGTCTTGCGGAGTATGGATTGAGTTGGCGTGTCGTAACCCCGTCTGGCCGGAGACACTGCGGCACTTTCATGTTCATGTTCTTGTTCATTCAGTCTATTCCTTTCTGTTGAATTTCGCAGCAGAGCCTGGCTTTCAATATCGTAGCCCTCTCTTATGGGGGAACCACAGCGTCCATTGTGACTGCGTCCGTTCAGAGATGTAACCGACTCCGACTTAAAAAGGAGGGACCGGCTGGAGGAGGCGTAAGTTCTCCTTGGCGGCGAGGAACTGTCACGGTGAACCTCAGAAGTTCTCCTCGATGGAGATGTAGTACGACTGTCACGCCCTCGTCCGGCCGGTGACCGGCTGGTGGTTTCAGATTTGCGGAGAGACATGGGACCTGGAGGTTTATAGTCTCTCCGTGAGGGAGATGAGCTTCTGCCGTCATGACCTCGAGAACTCAGAGACCCATTTACTTCTGTTCTCCTCAAGGCACTCCTGAAGTCAGAGACCGTGCTGGTTTGGTATTTGCCTGAACCTGGGAGCGCTTTGAAGCTTCTCGGCAGCGTTCCCGACTCACCGCGTCGGGCATGTGTGCTTTGCAAGGAGCTTCTGGATCCCGGCTCCGTCCCTTGAGACCACCCTCCACCATCGAAACTGCGCCTACTGAGGGAACCGGTGGACTCGCTGCGTCTGAACGGTAAGTTTCCACGTGGCGGAGAAGAAGAGCGAGATTGCAGAGCTGAGCTACGCTTTGAGGAATCAAATCGTCCTGATTGATGATAGGACGAAACATGAGACGGAGGGTTTCCCCGGCCATATGAAGTGCTGAATCCCTTTCGCTCAGAGGCCAGAGACTCCGCTACCTTGAAAGGTGTGGGACTGGGAGAGCGAGGGCCGACTTGCGCCTCAACCTCAATGGCAATATCATAGGGGTCAGGAGGAAGTATTTCCACGGGGAGATCGTCATCTTGATCCTCTGGTACCTGCCTTTCGGAGGCCACGCCGAGATTAGGGTTTCTGAAGGGGATGGTGTCTTTGGGCTCAATATTTCTGGCGCTGAAGAGGGGATGCCCTCTCTCAAAATGGCGGAAAGGAGCCGACGGGCTGCTGTCATGGAGCGACCGGGCACCCGCCGCCCGCCCCAGGGAGAAGTAGCCGCTTTCACGCTTTTCTCTGTCGTCGTTCATCCCTAGAAGACAAAAAAAGGAGTCAAGCAGAGTGACGGAAATAGAAAGAGGGAGGGGGAAACAGAGACACGCACATCAAAGTTCAACTATCACAGGCTTCCTGACACAAACCGAGATATATTGTATTACTGATAATTGCTCGGTGACACCTCAGCTGGTGACATCAAACAGTATTGTCGCGTAAAGAACACCTTTGGCTGTAACTGGATATGAACCTGTCAGGAGCAGTAAGTCATACTAAAGGCTCGTCCTACTGTCAGACTCATACTGAGAGATTAGATGATGCTGTTATGGTTCTCCCTCCCAAAAAACTAAATATAACAATACACAAGGTGAGCTCTCACACACCCGACCGCCTGGTGAAGCCCTCTCTGCTCCGAGCTTCATCCATCCACGCCCGGGGGTTGGGCCGATGGGGCGGAGGGTCGAGCCGGGTCATGCCGGGTCTGGCCGAACGGCGACGGATGGGTAGATATTCGTCCTCCGCACTGACGGAGCCGCTGAACTCTTGGTAGTCGCTCTGGTCACGACAGCTGCACGGAGGAGGAGATGGGAGAAGAGATGGAAAGGTGAAAGGGTGAAAGAGTAAAGAGAAGGCAAAGAAGGAAGGAGGGGAAGGAGGCCTAAGGATAACATTTTATAGGAAAACTGTGCAAGTGCATCGAACAACATAAAAGTTTTGGTGAACTGAAGTTGAGATATTCACACTATCGGCCTTAAATGATTAAACTTATCTATCGTGACACTCTAGGTCAGTTAAGAATAAACTGAAGTGTCTTGATATCACCCACCTGTCAGTGCTGTCGTCGTCGTCGTCTCCGTCGCAGATGTAAAGCTCACAGTCGGGGCTCAGGATGCACAAGGAGCTCTCCCCATAACCTGGACGGACTCCACTGACATCACAGTAGCTGCTCACCACCGACAGGCCGTCAGAGTCCTCCTGATAGGACGACACGTTAGGACGCGAGCCAATCGCAGCATCGCAGAAGGCTATCGCTCTGTCCACGCCGCAGAGGAAGATGCGTGGATGACCTTCCGGAAATTGTGCCTCCACACAAAGGTGCTGCTTTAAAAAACGTGTAGACTCACAGAAAACACAAAGATCGTAGGTTGACCGGTGTCGTTCCCCTCCGTCCTCTGTGACACACGCTCACATGCTCAGTCTGCTGTTCGATTAGAGTTACAGCTCTGTAACTCTACCTGACTCGAGGCTTTCCTCATTAAAATTTCAACATTTTTTTCCTGCCATAAACCCATCTCTTGAAACAAAGATGTTTGTAAATGTCAGTCAACTGGCAACAAACTCCAGGAATTCATTAGATGAGGTATCACAGAATAGTTTTAGCCCTACAAGTCAATATCCATCATGTTCAAAGATACATATACATCATCAGACAACTGAGTCATGGAAGCAGATCAAACAGAAGACTGTGGAGGTGTCACAGTTTTAATACTGTAAACACGCCCAGCCTTTCTTTACATTAACCCTTTGTCTAAAATTACAAGTGATTCCCAAGAGGACAGTAAGTGATCCAGCTTCGTTAATTTATAATAGGAACCGCCGCTCCTCATCCTCCGTCTCTGACCTTTCTCCTCATTTACTCACAAAACTCAAATACGATCTCATTAACTGCTCTACTATGATCACATTAAACTAGATCACACGTGGAAACACTTAAGTTGATTCTTGGGCAATTGATAAGAAAAGTTGAAAGCTTGATCCATAATTCTTAGATTCTAACTTCTAACGTTGAGGATAATTTCTGATCCGCAAGAATAAAAGTGAGTGAAGCAGTTCAGAAGTTTCTCACTCAGCATCTAACCCGTGTCTCTCTGACTTCACCTCTAACGCTCTCTTCACATCAAGTTAATCCCATCACTCAGCACATATTCTACTCTCATGTCTGTATCGACCCTGTGAACTCCCTGCTCCCTCTTCCTCCCGGGCTTCTCCTCTTTCTCACCTTGCTGCTGGTGTCTTTTTCCTCAGCCTGGGATGGGATTGGTGTTAGAAACACTCCTTTGCCTGTTCCAGTCGCCGTCCCAGTGTCGGTTATACCCCCAGTTCCGGTGCCTGCGGTGGATTTCAGCTGTGGTGCCACCTCAGTGCTCTCCCCTGCGCCGGCGTGCAGGTGCCTCTGGCGCAGGCAGTCATGGCAGCGTGACGGGTCGAAGATGTTGGGCTGGAACTTGGGGCAGGTGGGCTCGTCACCGGAGAGAGGCATGGTGGGTTCTGAGGGGGAACGTGCCCGCTCATCGCACCAGGGAGAGAAAACTGAGAAACAGCAACAGAGCGATGGAAAAACAGTCTCACGTTAAAATATACTTAAGAAATAACATTTACATGACGCTGAATGGAAAACTGTGATGAGGAAAAACTTGTTACTCTGAAAAATTCACAGTGATGACAGTGAGTCCAAAATATTTCTAAAAACCTGCAGAGCATCTTTGGTAAAACGTTGTTAGTTGACACAAGATGAAGTTAAAATATAAAAATCTTCTAAATACATGTGCAGCCTGATAACAGGTGTAGATACAATGAGGCTCTTTATCTCATGGTTCATGCAAATCCTCAAGCGGAACTGTTAACGTACATGATGACTAATCACAATCCAAGCTGTTACAAGCACCGCCTGCAGTGATGTAAAGAACATGTAAATGAACCTGTTACAGAAAACATTCGGGATGATCATATTAAAATAGTGTCACCTGTAAAGAGAAGCTCCAGTCGTCAGCTCAGTTGAGTTTGTCATTACCCAGGATACTCTGCTCCTCAGACCCCCATCAGGCACATGCCTCCTCTTCCACATGCTCTGTCCTCCAAACTCTCAAATCAATCCGATTGGCTGCTCTTGACAATGAGTGAAACTGAAGCATCCTTGGCGGCCATGGTGGCTCCCGGCTCCCACAGCAGAGGCTCATGGGAGTACGCGGACCTGGAGCCAACATGGAGCCAGTGACCTGCCGGTTCCTCTGTTGAGCGGTTGTATTAAATATCATGGGCTTTAGAAAGCGAAATGAAACGCTCATGCTAGCGGGCAGCTGGCACACGCTGGCTCAGGTTAACGTAAATAAATAAACACTGGTGAGGTGGGGGGGGGTTTGAACATACATTAAAACAGGGGGCGGTGTGGGTTCTTCATGTTTGCACTGAATAAGAGAGAATGAGTGGTCGTTGTTTTTTTTTTAGATCACACAGGTAAAACTGAGCAGCGAGGAAACAGAGCTGAGGGTTGATTTCCTGATGCTCTGGAGAGGATGTTGACAACAGTGTCAGGTTTCCTATTAAACAATAGAGCAGGGAGGGGGGGACAAACTCCACTCGGACGACGTGTGAGACATGAACACGAGAAGACGTCTTAGCAAGATTTATCAGTCATTTAATGAAAATGTCAGTAAAATACAGGAAACTTTACTTCATGAAAGACGAAAACAGCTGGGAAAATGTACAAACTTCCAGGTGACAGGAAATGAGTCTGATAATCGACAGTCCGACCTGGTGGAGGCCACAGAGTCCACATCAGCTTGAGTTCATTTTACAAACAGTTCAGTGTAAAGTCTGACAGTTCAGATCTTACATTGTACTTTAACACACACACGCACGCACACACACACACGCACACTCACACACACACACTTTCAGTCCAGATGTTGCCCCTTCCTCCCGGTCTGTCGACGTCTCTGCCACTTGCTGCTCTTCCCTGTTCTCTTTTTCAACTCCGTGATACCACGTTTCTTGTCTGTCGAGCGGTCTCGTCCTCTTCGGCCTTCCTGCTTCCCTTTCCTCCTCTTGCTGGTGAAAGTGCTGAGCGATGTCATCAGAGAGCGGATTCTACAGCAGCGGGAGGGAGGGAGGGAGGGAGGGGGAGAGAGAGAGAGAGAGAGAGAGAGAGAGAGAGAGAGAATACACAGCTGGAGTGAGCGGCTGGAAGATGACGAGAATTCTAATGTAAGAAACATCTGTGGACCACCATCATGGCACAACTCTGTTTCTTGGCACAGTTTAGAATATAGATGGTGAAACCAGCCACACACTGAGATCAGGATGATGAACAACTTACTTTTTGTTCATGATCGGATTCCCGGCTTTTCTTGGCATTGCTGGTTTTTGCTCCCCCTCTTCCTCCTTCTTTTCTTCATCCTTGCTTTCCCCATTCACCTTGACCGCAAAGGTTCACAGTGTTTAACGTCATCAGTGACCATGTGCAGTTATGAACATAGATACCGACATTGAGATGCATCAGGACCGTGCACAGAGCCCATCAAGATAAACGAAGGCTCAACCGTTTACCTGATCTTCCGCAGGTCCGAGCAGGTGAGCCCCAGAGAGGTCGAGATCGCTGATGGTCGTCACGGTGACAGTGTGGTTGGGGTGATCGTACTGTATCGACTCGGTCGTACTGGTGATCACATCTCCGAGATCGTCGTCAGCTTCCTCTGAGAGATGAAAAAAAAACAATCAAGAGAGGATAGGATTAAAAATCTGTATAAAATGATCAGAGGTTAAATAAGCTGTGACTGACTTCTGATGTTAACTCACCGAGAGCGTCCGTCCTCTCCTTCAGCATCTTCATATATTCCTTGTGCCTCTGAAACAAGACATTTAGATTTAACATCAGAAAAACAATTCCTGACACGATTCACTCCATCAGGTTTCAAATCCTTCTCATCTACAGTTACCTCTTCTCTGACTCTACTTTGCTCCTCCTTGATTTTCTTTCGAATTTCTGCCACTGCTGCTTTTCTCCTTTCCACTTTCCGCTTGTGGAAACCAGTGAGGAAATCCCTGGCAGAGGATTAGAAGAACAAACCCCTGATCACATCTCCACAGGTTCAATGTATATATTTATGAAGTGAAAACCTCTGGCTCACAATTCAAACAGGTCAGTAGGTTAAGAGGTTATCTTACATAGTAAAATGCTAAAAACACACATAATTCTTAATTCTTATAAAGACATGTGTCGTTTTACAGCAGCAGGAGGAGAGAGAATATAGAAATATCGTTTCCAACATTAATAAATAAGGAAGAATCCCAATGTAAACATAAGGTAATATTAAAATGACAACAACACAGAGGCTACATATCAACACAATATATACACAGTCTGAATCCGCTCGGTTCACAAACAGCCCAATGTTGAAGACGCTCTGTTCCACCTGATTTAAACCTGATTTAAAATACACGATGCTAATGCTAGTCTGATACAGAGGTAGACCAGTGGTGGCTCACGGTAGGATGCTCACGCTAGGATGCTAACTGAGACAAACTTACTGTCTTTCTTTGTCGTCGAACGTCACGATGCATTTATTTTCTCTTTTCTTCGAGCCGGGCTTGAATTTCTTGTTCTTGAACGAGTTGTTGTGTTTTTTCATGTTTTTCATGGTGAACACGTGAGTTTGTCCTGAGTTAGTTCCGGGGTAACTGTGAGAGGGGGAACCGCGGTTAAATGGGTCCGACTGGAAACACGGACAAATAAAGCCTTAAGAAGTTCCGCTCAGCCTACATGTTAACACGATGCACAGATTCTCTGGAACGGTTTTTATTTATTATTTATATATTATTCAAGTGTTTAAAATCAAGCCTTCATATATTCACGTCAGTTTAGATTCTACAAGCTTCAGTTTTCATGATAAACTTTGCTTTATTTTAACTTTTATTTATTTATTCCATACCTTTATATGGAGACGTATAAACGTTCACGCTTGTTTCTGTCCCAGAGCAACAATATAACCTGATTACATCACATTGCTCACACATAACATTCATCATAATTCCCATCCATCACACTCACAGTTCAGATGCAGCCCCAGGAACGATAAATAAAAAACTAATAGAAATAGTTGAGCAATTCAAATCTGAATCTTTCTGGTCTCAGCTGAAGTCTCGTTGCAAAGTGTTGGATCTAAATTAAAATTGATGCTCAAAATCTATTTTTGAACTCATTTCCAGAAATCCAATCCCAGAATACATAAGTAGAATCTCTCATCATCACTCCGACATAACTCAGATGTAACTTTATCTCTTACAATCATTTTTGTTTCCAGTTCCCATTTTCATTTGGTTCTTTATCATTATTAAGTAAATGTTTTGGTGCTTTAAAGATATTTTAAATTAACCCTCTTTTTTGATTCTTTTTCTGTAAATGTAAATTTCTCACTATACATTTCTTAAACTCAGTGTCTCAGTTGTAGGTGTTTTTCTATTTGAAATCTTCTTTAGTAGTTTTCTGCAGCAGACAGACGCTCCTTCCAGCGGCTCCTCTCGTATCCAGACATGTCGTCTCTCTGAACTGAGCTGCAGGGAGCGTCTCATACAGACAGAGGTGTCCAGTGTTCGCCGTGCTACACACAGACTGTTTGAAAGAGGAAACCAATAACCTTCACCAAGAAGTCCCTATCAGAATGACACTGACATTCACACCCTGCTAACACAAAGGAAATATTGAATTGGCTCTTGTTTTTTGTTTCAAGCGCTCAAATTTCACGTCCACCCCTGATATGACACATTTATTAGTGAGAGAAAGTTGCCAGCCACTATCATGTGTTGTTTTATTATAAAACAAACATCAAAATTAACACAAAAGTTCAGACGATAAAATACATCGAGGGGAAGAAGCAAACAAAACAAAACAGAATAATGATAGTAACTGCAGCCTGCTAACGGCTGGTTGAGCGTTGCTTTCTTTTTTTTTTACCAGTCAGGAAAAACTAAAGCTAAACTCCTGACAGGACTTATTGACAGCTTGAGTTGACCTGGAAGACAAGAGTTCTGGAAAATTCTAATAGCACAAGTGTGTGTTTGCTTTTACTTAACAAACAACAAGCTATCATTTAAACACAGGCCTTACTTCTTCAATTAGATACACATCTTCCTAGTAGAGGATTCTCCCTCTGACAGTTTCTGACCCTCAGCTTCTTTTACCAACATAAAATAAGGACAATAATAAAATGCGATAAAACTGCTCCCTTCACAACCAAAAATATGCATTTATATTAATATTACATAAACATTAAATAAGGTAATCAGAGCACAGAAAATAAACGAACGACTGAATAAAAAGCAAAGTAGACAAAGATTTCACAAAACTAAAACTCCTCCGTCAATTCAAATGAAACATCATCAACTTTTTACATAACATCAAGGCCATTTTCGCTTGAGAGCTTTACATCATTTATGGACATCGTATTCCGAGAAATACAATTTCTCACGTTACCGCTGCGTTTCAGTTAATTTTCCCACCATGCCGTGACACACCTCCCGACGCTGTGAGCGGCGTATTTCTGCCTGTGGCCTCAAAAGAAGACTTTCACAGATCGACAGCAGAGAGGCGGATTATTCTGCCTGAACTTGTATTGAGGATTTGTTACCTGCTGAAACCCACAGTGAACTGAACCTGACCACAGCTGATATCCTCCCTCACGGAGAATCATGTTTAAGGGTAGGCGAGAGGACTTTGGACTCTCCAGGTCAGACAGGTGACCATTCAGAGCCACATTATACGTGTTACAGTGCTTCTTCTCTCAAGCAGTACGTAAGAATTCTACTTCTGTTTATCTGCCTATGTACAACCTATATACAATCACATTGTGAGTATGCTATTCATGTCTTATGTGCACTACTGGTCAAAGGTTCTTAGAATGCCTCAGTTTTCCCCTTATGGAGAACCTGAAATAGTAAAAACGTAAATCTGTAAACCGCCTAACATAAAAAAACAATATATATATATATTGTACAGCTGGGGGTAGTATCGCTATTATAATGGTGAGGAAAAAGACGGATAAGAAAGAAGGAAAGACTGGTCATAGGTTCATCCACCAATCTAATGACCAGATGGAGACTTCACGTGATGAAGAGCAGATCAGTCTATCAGAGTCTAGAATATTCAATTCTGCCAATAGATCCCTTTAACCTAAATCTTACACACTGGACCTTTAATGTGTTCATTTAAAAAACAGCTGGAAGAATTGAGACGTTCTAAAAAAAACCTTTGACCTGCAGTGTGAATGGATTTCTGTGTGTCTGGGTATTTTCTGATTTGCCCACAAGAGACTGCTTCCCTGTGTTGTCTTGATGTTTTTTTGCGAATCCAGAAATGTGTCCTTTGACCTGCGAGACAGAACGGAACATGTCAGCAGGAGCTGTGTGTCATTATTGCGACAGCAAGTCGTGTTCCGATAGTTGTGTTGTTTGCTGCATCCTACAGTCTGCGTAAGGTTTTTAATTGGAATGACGCTGCTCTGGATTGAGGCGTCACTTCAAATGGTCACTTGATTCAAATGCAGGATAACTGACTGAAGTATCCTATGTTGCTCAACAGTACAGTGCTGGCATTGTACTGTATATGAGGTAGATAAGAAGAGACACAACTCTGCACTGTGCAGTTAAGAGCGCGCTACTCTCTGCCTGCAGCTCGCAGCACAGCCATGCTCAACAGGTCTGGGCTGTCTACTCTTGAATAGACTGAAGCCCTTAATAGAAGCTTGCACAGTTACCGTGTGCCAAAAATGATTGTACAGCTCGGCTTCCTACAGCTAATCAATGCACTGCTGCATTGCATTTATTTAAGCTATGAGATCATGGTCCCTTTTCCCTGTGGGGCCTATTTAACCTGATTTCCCTTGTTGTTAAGCATCGTTTAAAATGAGGCAGTTAGCCGGCACGGTACCATTAATGGCCAGAAGGTGGCGTGATTGTGCTGCAACAGTGCAACTGAGAGTTAGAGGAGCAGACGTGTAGCTGCTGCGTGGATAAAGGCTGAGTTAGATGAATCCATATTCCTGGACCTTAATCAGAATGAGGGTGTGAATATGTGACAATTACAGAAGAACATGTTGGTGGATCAGTCGGGTGTTTGAAGTTAAAATGAATGTGTTTGTTCAGGAGGCTGCGATTGTTGTTCCCCCGCTGAGGCGGAGCAAGATCTGCTGACAGTCCTGCAGGGACCGACGGTCTCCCACCCGCTCCAGGGTGCGCTTGGCCTCGGCCAGCAGACGGGCGCGGTGCCCGGGCGGAGTTAGCAGGGGCATGGGCAGGTGGCGGCAGGCCAGCAGGATGGCGTGGGCCCTCTCCCTCTCGCCCAGGACACACTCACCTTCGGGGGGGGAGAAGAGAAAAGAGGAGAAAAAGTGCAGATTAGCTTCCACTGCTTCCTGGTGTGTTTATAACCATTATTAATAAGATTAATAACGACCACAGGGAGCTGATCCTGAGCCAGCAGTCAAGGTGAACTTCCACTGAGCTGATATGATTCAGCGAGGATGATAGTTCAATGTGTAAATATGAGTCGTGTCTTACCGGCTGTGTAGGAGTTGTGTGTCCTGCGTCGGAGGTTGTGCTCCAGCAGCTGGTGTGTCCTTGTGGGACTGGCACCGGCCATTAGCCTCACTGTGGTCTCATGAAGAAACACCTGCAGGAAAAACAGAGAACATCATATGCTTGTTCGTCTGGGTGACGCCTGCGCCGGAGAACACTGAGCTCTTACATCATTTACTAAAAGAGATCAGTGGAAACTTTCAGGTAAAAGCATTTTTCACTCACTTGTCTCACAACAGAATCTCGTACAACGATAATGAGTCAGGACATAACAAATGATCAGGAAGCAGCAGTTGGTAAAGACCCTCTGGCTACAGTAATGACTACTCAAATAAACCCCACAAGTCTGATTGATGCCTGCAGCTGCGCTGAGAGTTCTGCAGCTGATAACAGTGGGAGAGAACAGGATTTCCAAGGCTGATACAGTAAATTTAGCATCGTCATGAACAAGCAGAGCAGCCGCACCTTGTGTTGTGCTTGTCTGTAGCACTGTGTGAGCTTCCTGAGCGCGCTGAGGTCCCTCTGAAAACCAGCCAACTGAGATCCAGGGGCCGGGCCAGGCTCTCCGTTACTGCCGCCCCCTCGCTGCCATAAACTGGTCCTTAAAGTCAGCAGCAGGTCGCACACCAGGAGCTCCACCCCCTTAGGAGAGACGAGGGACAAAAAAAAAAAAGATATATTGATCTGTTTACTACTGTCGTCGATTCTCTCAGCGCCAAAGGTGTGATTTAAATCTTCCCGTACATCCACAACCAGCCGCCGTGGTTAGCAGTGAACCAAGCTCCGACATGCATCCCCGATAAAAATGTAACATGCAGAACTTTTCAGTGCTGCCTGATGTGAAGTGATGGGGTGTGTAGCGGGTGCGTGCAGATTGGGGAGGCCTCTGTACTGCACTGCAGACACATTGCACTCGGCTTCAGGATCATGCAATGCAACTACAATGCACCACAGCCACCTCCTGCCACCCACACTGCGCGCGCACACACAACAAATATCACTTTTCCCCTGGGGACATCTCCTCGACATATTCACAACACCCTCATCATCACAACTAAGTGCTGAACACATCGCTTATTGTGACCTAACAGAGAAGTATAAACACACACACACACACACACA